TTGGCTATAGCCTGCTCGCTTGTGCGAAAGGGTGTGTACCAGCCGGCCGGCGATTCATTGAGTGTCGGTGTAAGCGAGACGGCGCATACAAAAGCAGCTCGCCGGGTGGTTGCTCTCGCTCTGACTCTGGCTTTGGCTCTCTTCAGCTGTGTGTAGTGTGGTGTGGGGCGTCGTTAAAGGATACACTGGATACGGAGTCGCGACCGGCGGCGCCTGCTTTCTGTTCAGTCGTACGTGTTCGTTCGTTGCTTTCGTTCGGTTTTGATTCCATTCGGTTGTGTTTCTCGTTCGAGAACATTCATTTATAATTTTTTGACTCCTCTGCACCAGTTTTTGTGTTGTATTCAGTTACAAATTTGTTGTGTTCTACGTTTTTTCCAACTAACAAAAAAAACAAACAAATAAAAAAAACAGACACAACTGCAACTACAAAAACAACAACAGCAACACCAACAACAACTGCAACAGCAACGGCAATAACTCTGTGCAAGACTCTTTGTGCAATATAACAGATGATATATATTTAGTTATATATATCTATATATACTAACTATCGCAACTATCGTTTCGTTACGTTTCGCTTTTAACACTCGTGTCGGGCAAACATAAATTGCAATACGTTCAACTCGATTGAAAGCCAGGCTAACTGTAAAGCAACAACAGCAGCAGCAGCAACAACAACAACAACGCATCGATTGTGTTCCTAGTCAAATTTGTTCCATTTTTTTTTCGCTTTTTGTTACACTGTGCAAAAGCCAAGCCAAGCAAAGCAAAGCAAATGCAAAAACAGCAATAACATCAACTACAACTAAAACTCAAACAACGGTAGCAGCTAGAACGTGAAGCGTGCGACAGAGGGAGATAGCAGTTGCAGACGCAGCGTTTGAGAGAGCGAGCGCGAGCAACCATTTTGCAATCAATAGATCCAAAAAAAAAAGAATTTTTTTCTTGCTGCTTTTTCTGCTTCTTCGTAAATATATATAGAAATATATATATTTCTTTTGCTATACATTTTTTTTGCGACGTGTCTGTGTCGACTTTATCGTATTGCAGAAATCTGTAAGTATATAACAGTTGTAACAGTGCTTAATATCTATATTTTTTTTAGTGTCGTTAAGTTCACAATGTTTTTTTTTCATGTGCTTTGTCCACTTTTTTTTTTGAAGTGTAAAAAGTGAATATTTAAATTACTTCATTATGCTGATATGATCAATTTGATCGACATGATGATATGTGATATATGATAGATATATGATCTCTGTGTACTACGACTGCTGTTTGTATGGCAGTGTTGAAAGTGATTGGAATGATGCGATCACCGTTAAAGTGTGGCATAGCAAAGTTTAACAGAAGAGAGAGAGAGAGAGAGAAAGAAATAGAGATTAAAGAGGTTAAAGAGAGTACGTATTCTCTTTTTTTTTTCTCTGCTTCTTCCTTTTGTGGTCTTAGCCTCTCTATACCTCTATATCCTTCTCTCTCTCCTTCTCTTTGCAAATCTATCTCTATCTCTATTACTTAAGAGCTATTCTCTATTCTGACAAATGTGAATACTGAGAAAAGTAATGAATAACTGCAATTATTCTCTCTGTCTCGCGTTCTCTTAGTGTGTCTCTCTCACTCTCTTCCAATCCTCCACACTACTGACTCTCTTCGGTCCTTTTTTCGCTCTCTTCATTCCTTCTCTCTCTCACTCACTATCTTACCTTGCTTCTTTTCAGTCTTGCTCTCTCTTCTTTCTTTCTCTTTCTCTCTCTCTATCTCCCTTTTTCTCTTCACCTTCCTCTCTCTCTCTCTCTGTCTCTATCTTTCTCTTCACTCTCTCTCTTTCTCTCTCTTCTCTCTCTCTCACTCTCTCACTCTCTCTCTCTCTTTCTGCCCCCGCCCCTCTCTCTCCTTCTCTTTCTCTCTGCTCCTTCCACCCAGCTTTTATTCTTCATCTATTTCTCCAACTCTTCCTCTGCCTGCACAGCTGCCATTGCAGTCTCCGCCTTCTTGGCATTCTATCTATCTATTCCTTTGCTTAGTGCCATCTCTTTCCTGCTTGGCACCCTTGGCCTCGCCAAGACATGCCCTGACCCACCTCAAGGTGCTGAACGACACACATTTTAAATGAGGTCACAGATATCGGCGCAAAAGTGTCAATTACACATTTTTTTCTTGCTTCCTTCTTGCTTTTCATATTCACAGCTCATTCACACACACACATACGCACACCCAGACAGAGGCACGTACGCAGCGTCGTTGTCTTTGACAGGGTCGCTGGCCGTTGGGGGTTGTCAGCTGAAGGAGTTAGCGCCTGGGTTGGGTGGCTGCTGAGATGCAGCTTGCCGTATGCAGCCATATTGCAGCGCAGTTAAGCTATGCGTGTGTGTGTGTGTGTAAGTGTGTGTGCTTCCTCTTGCTCGTCTCTTTGGCCACTTTGTGCATTTCCTTTGTTTTGAGCTTGTCTGCTTTTTTCGTGGCTTTGACTTTGATTTGGTGTTTTGTTTGTGTTTTGTTGTGTAAGCACTTCAAGTGTGTGTGTGTGTGTGTGTCTTTTGCCTTTGCCTTATCACGTTGTTGTTGTTGTCGTCCTGTTGTAGGCCTATTCAAGCCTTACCTTTGAGTTCATTGAACGCAACAGCTGTTTCTAGCGCGTGCCACATGCCACATGCAACAGCGAATAGCAACCACAAAACAGCAATTCAACGATCTGCTGCCTTCTAGAGCGCAACTAGACAAGCCCAATAATAACAACGGCAAGAACACGATTATGAGAAACAGCCCAAAAACACTGGCCGCAGCGCGACGAGTTCATTGACCCAGGCGCAGCGTAGCCAGAGCCAAGAGAAAATCCCATAACGAATTCTAAGCCGAGCAGCCTGTGTCCTGTGGCCTGTGTCCTGTGTCCTGTGTCCTTTATCCTCCTGTCGTCCTCTTGTCCTACCGGCCGGGGGTACGCGGCGTGCCGCTTCGCTTGTTTGTTTGTTTTTCGCGTCAGGTTTTTACCCTATTTTCAATGCGGTCCCTTTCCATACACATTTCTAAGCCTCACACGCAACCAAACAAGGATCTATACAGCAAAGGGAGTCCCTTTTCCTGTCACTGCCCTGGCGCGCTCTTTAATGCGCCTGCCCTCTCTCTCTCTCTCTCTCTCTCTCCTACTCCCTCTCTCTCCCTCTCCTTTTCTCCCACTCCGTCTCTTTCTCTGTGTTTCGCTCTATGCCTGCGTCTAGGTTTCCACCCCTCTATGTGCTTCCAATTGGACCAGCAGCGAGAGGCTCGCAAGTCCAATTAGACTTGACTGCAGACCCTTTGGAGCAATATCTTGTCGCTTTCCAAGAGGGCAAAGTTGATTTGATTTATGATTGCGTTTGCAAAACATTTCCTATTTTGCCAGGAAGCTTCAGACTGTTTCGACTACTTATATCCCTATTGTGACGATTTCCTCAGGGTTTCGCAATTGAAAGCAATTTATATCTCAATTTTATTTAAATTTAATTTTATTTAAAATTTTAACAATTTTTTAGAACACAAACAAATTTATAAAAAATATTTTAAATTTAAAAAAAATAATAATATATTTATTTGCAAAAAAAGGTTTTTAAAATATTCAAAGCAAACAAATTTTTTTTTTAAGTTTCTTAAAAACATTGAAATTTGAAACAAAAAAATTTAACAATTACAAAAAAAAAAAACAAAATAAAATAATTAAAAATATTTTAAAATTATAAAAATATTAAATTTTGTTTTTTTTTTTAGATCAGAAAAAGATATTAATTTTATGATCACTTTGTTTCGAGCCACCAAAGCTCTTTTAAAACTGAAATAATATCTAATTGCAGTCAGCACTTTTTTTCGAATTCATTTTCAAGACGAATTCTATATCTAAATTTAAAAGATATTACTTTTAAATTATGATATTCTAGGCCTCCCAAGCTCGTGCCACTTCCTGAACTGTGATTGTGGCTCTAATCACGCATACTCCAAGCTGCCTTTTGGCTCTTCAGTTCAATTAATTGAGAACGCAACAAAAAGTGGCGCTAAGGTGCACGTGTGCTCGACTGCTGGAGTGCAGGCAGGCTGTGGGGCGAGCTGAGCGACTCACACAGAGAGATAAGGAGGGAGAGAAAAAGTGGGAGAGAGAGACAGAGCAATTTAATTAAATTCCAAGCCATTAAGCAAAGTTTTTTGCTGACAAAAAAGAAAAAACAAATTCGGGAACAAAATAAGCGCAGCAGAAAGAAGCTTGATAAAAAGATTTGAGGCTTTTGGCAATTGACAGAAGTTAGGGCAAAGGGTTGCTGTAGGCTCTACATATTCAAAAACAAAAAGAAAAAAAAAACGAAAAACTCGATGAGCATTAGCTAAATGCTTTGCTTTGTGCCTTTGGGGTGACTTCAGTGGGCTGTGTAACGCGCTTAGCCAAGGGCGCTTTATGCTGAGCTTCTGTTTTTTTCTTTTTGGCTTCTCTAACTCTCGATTCTCTTCATTTGCAGATTGAGTACGAAACGAGCGAGCAATCGAACAGCTAATTATCATTTATCAGACACGCCCAGTACAGGAGAAAGAAGCGATTCGATAAGGAAGAATTTTTAAACTGCAACCGAAGCAAAGCGCAAAAACCAAACACCACCAAACAAAACCAACAAAAACTATTAACATAACAAAAACCAAAAACAAAACAAGAAGAAGAAGAATAAGAATATAACGAATAATCATATTTAATCGTATATACAACATTATAATAAATACATATACCATATTATATATGTATAAACACAACTAAGTTCCATACAAAAAAACAAAAATACCAAAAGGAAGAAGCGCAAATTAGTAAAAGTAAATATAAAGAAAAAAAAAACAAAAATTATTGCTATCTTTTTGCATTTTTGCAATTTTATATAAAAAACACAAGAAAAAACTTAAATACTCAAGAGGCGAAAGAAGAAAAAATACCAAAAAAAAAAAAACATTAGCAAAATTTACTCTTTTATCTAAAAATAAACTAAAAACAAAAATTACTTCAAACTTAAATTAAATTTTAAACTTTAAGCAAAGCCAAAGAACGGTTTAAGATAAAAACAAAAAAAAAACCTAAGATAAATACTATTTTTTTTTGCGATCGTAGTTGATCTAAAAACCCAAAAAAAAAGACGAAACGGAAACGGAAGGCAAAGACACTTCATAAAGAGCCAAGAGAGAGAGAGAGAGAGAGAGAGAGTGAGAGTACTGTGCGAACCGACAAACCACTCGAGGGGACTAGTGCAAAGCGCAGTCAGAGCTGTCTCTTTATAAACAAATGAAAAAATACTAAAAGAAAGAAAGAAAATACCAAGAAATAAGTACATATATTCTATAAGCGTAACCAAACAAGCAGTGAGATTAAATACTAAGCACAACCAATCCAAGAGGAAACAAAACCAATACCGAGTGCAGCCAAAGAAGAGGAAGCTTAACAGTAACTGTTAACAGTAACAGCAAGCGCTAACAGCAAGCAGAGTAACTGTTGACAGCAACAGCAGCTGTTAACTGAGAAGAAAGCCAGACAACAATAACAGCAACTGTTAACCGTTAACAGGCGAGCAACTGTTAACAGTTAACAGTGCAGAGCAGTAAACGCGGCGTCATTAACATCAACATCAACATTAACACTAACGGCAACAGCAACAGTAACGAGAACATGACCAACGCCATGGATATTGTTAAAAACGGCAGCGCCAATGGCTCCGTCGACGGCAGCAATGATGAGTCGCGTACCAATTTGATTGTCAACTATCTGCCACAAACCATGACGCAAGAGGAGATGCGTTCGCTCTTCTCAAGCATTGGTGAGTTGGAGAGTTGCAAACTGGTGCGTGATAAAGTCTCAGGTAATTTGGGTAAATATTAACCAAATTTTTTACAATTCTACTGCACTAGCCTTAAGTCGTTCCGTTTGTAGTTTCGATTAGCAATTTTCGTTTCATTTATGACTAATTTAACATGCTCATGTTAAGTTTACCATGAAGTTTTCACATGGCAAACTTTCGATTCTCAAGAATCACATTTTTTATTTTTAATAGTAAAAGTTCTTCAACTATTCTTTGTTGGAATTCCTTCCGGAACAGATGCCCTGTTCACATGAAAATTTACAATGAGGATTTTGCCAGACTATTTCAAAAGCTTGTCTTCAGCCAATATTCTTCTGTTAGCCCTTGATTGTGAATAATAACCCAATCTAATTCAAATTGAATTTTGGCTGCTTCACATGCAGATGACAAATTTACCAGGCAGTTTTGCCGTCATAAGTGCATGACCTGATGTTATAATGCATAATCTGTCTGGTTTGTTCCCTTCACATGCACATGGTAAATTTACCATGAAGTTTCTAATCTTTCTTGCTTTTAATGATCTTCATATGAATAACTATTGTAGTCCAAGTCAGATAATTGAAAGCCTTAAATATCTCTAGGTCTGACTTCACAGCTTTTCTTGGGCTGATAACATGTCTGCCCTTACAGCTGTTATTCAAATGTTAAAGCGATGCTAAAGTTTTGTTGTTCGTAGCTTTTATAAGTTGTGTTATTGTCTGCACAGAGAAACTTATTGAAACCATATAAATAACATTTCGAAAACCATTTGGAATCATATTTTTTACAGTCTTGCCAGCATCATTGACCGCACTTAATCCGGCTCTGCAGCAAGGTAAGGACATCGAATTGTCCACTACATACATAAATCACATTTATCTATTTATTTATATATATTTCCTTGTATCTTTAGGTCAGAGCTTGGGCTATGGATTTGTTAACTATGTGCGCGCCGAGGATGCTGAGAAGGCTGTGAACACCCTGAATGGGCTTCGATTGCAGAATAAGGTTATTAAAGTATCATACGCCCGTCCAAGTTCAGAATCAATAAAGGGTGCTAATTTATATGTATCGGGTCTTCCCAAAAATCTATCACAACCAGACTTGGAGGGGATGTTTGCGTCGTTTGGCAAAATAATTACATCTCGTATACTCTGTGATAATATTTCTGGTAATCGATGATCGATTGACGACGAATCGATAGACGATCAACTAATTTATGCTTGTCCCACTCAGGTCTATCGAAGGGTGTCGGCTTTATACGCTTCGATCAACGCAACGAAGCCGAGCGCGCCATACAGGAGCTTAACGGTAAAACCCCGAAGGGCTATGCCGAACCGATCACCGTTAAGTTCGCCAACAATCCAAGCAATAGCGCCAAGGCCCAAATAGCCCCGCCCCTAACCGCCTACTTGACACCGCAAGCGGCAGCAGCCACACGACGCCTAGCCGGTGCCCTGCCATCAGCTGGACGTATCAGGTGCGTAGCATCCATTAAGAATCTAAAGCGAAACTCTGAAATCGGGGCGTATACTATGTATAAATATATATATATATATATGTATACACATTGAGATATATATATATATATATATATATATATATATATATACCTATAGATAGCTAGATAGTTAGTCCGAGTTATCCGTTTGTCTCGCATCTCTCGCATCCATCAAGTTAAAGAGCAAAGCAAAACATAGGCTTATATTATCTATATATAACATATATATATATATATATATATATATACTATATGATTTCTTGATTGATTGAGCAATATTTGTGCAATGGTTATATATATATATATAATTCTTATTATTATCTTACGATTCGATCTCTTTTTTTTTATTATTATTATGGATTGAACATAACTTTTACATAATGTTCCGTTTCAAATTTTTATACCTACCTCTTATGTCGCATATTTCGGTTTTCTTTTTTCTTTGATAAAAAAAAAAAAAAAACAAAAACAAAAAAACAAAAAAAAAAAAACAAATTTCTCATCATTTTTAGCATTGGAAAAAGTCCCATGTTAGCGATTAACAAGGGTTTGCAAAGGTGAATTTTTTCGACTTATTCATTTTTCACACACACACACACATTTACACATATATTGATTTTATACTCGTTCACCAATTGCCTGAAGAGAATATGTTGTTTTTTTGCTTTTCGTGTCTGTTCGTGCGTCTATTGTTGCCAGAGACTTGATATTGGATATATATAGGTATATAACTGTATCTAGATCAAGTCAAGTGAAACGTGACAGATCCAACCCCATGAGAGCTAGGGAGTTACCAAATAAGCGTTATAGAGAAAGATCGTATCACAAAAGCAAAATTGCTTGGAATACTGACTTTATTTATTGTTTTCATCTTGAAGCAGTATTCATGCCATTAAATATGTGGCATAGCACAGCTTGTTATCGATAACTTATGTAGCATGGCATAGCTTGTTAACTGCATGTTATCGATAACTTATGTAGCATGTCACAGCTTGTTAACTGCATGTTATCGATAACTTATGTGGCATAGAATAACTTGTTAACTGCATGTTATCGGTAACATATTTGGTATAGCACAGCTTGTTATCGATTACTTATTTAGCATATCACTGCATGTTACTTGCATGTTATCGATAACTTATTTAGCACAGCTCAGCATGTTCACTATATGTTATCGCTAACTAAAGTGGCACAACTCAGCAAATAAAGTGCATGTTATCGATAACTTATATGGAATAGCACAGTACTTGAACTGCATGTTATCGATAACTTATGTGACACAATACATAATGTAAGCTGCATGTTTTCGATAACTAATGTAGCATAACACAGCATATTAATTTCCTTTTATCGATTAATTATGTGGTTTAGCACAGCATGCAGCTGTTATCGATAACTTAAACATTTTATATAAGTTAATTTAATAACTTAATTTATGTGTAGCATAAAGATATTTGAGATATTTGAATTTTTTATTCTTAGGCCATAAGTTGAGTCGCCAGGGCCTGGCTTATGCTGGCTGCCCTCTTGGCTGAATGTTTACGTATGTATATGCACTCGTCTATACCATTGCTTGATCATATATCACTTAAGCTTTATATAGAAGTCATCATATACCATCAGATATCATCATATATATATGGCAAGGCAGGCAAACAGACAAATCCATTAGCCATAAAAATGAGCTGTGAACGAGTATTATGCAGTCGGTTGCGCCCGACTGAAATGTTTTTACTTGTTTGATTTACTATAAATGCAAAAATGAAAAACAAAACAAAAAAATACTAAATGTTTAGCTTTAATGTTTGTGTGTAAATGTTCAACCCGAAATACAATTTGATTTGCGAAAAAAAAAAACATCTTTAGCTATATATATATTTATATATATTTTCGTTCTGTCTTCTTTAAACCAGATTTGCATTTCAATGGAAGCTTTTTGTGTTCGATTCCAGTTTTTGTTCGAGCGCATGCGTCAGGTTTTCTGATTTTCATTTGATTCCTTAAGATCTTAATATATATATATCTATATATGATTTTCACACTATGTAACATATTCGTTTACTCTAACTTTTTAACCAAAAGTCTGCTTTTGTTTCATTCATATATACATATATAAATATATATAAATATAAATATATATATATATATATATATTTATTTATTTATATGTATATATGTGTATATATTTGTATTTTTTGATTGAATTAAAGTCGCGATAATTACATTTTGGTGCTTTTAACTAAACAATCAATTGGGCTAGAGCATTGCGAGAAAATATGCAATCAAAATGAAAAACTTTGCAGCACAGTGTAATGGTGGCTAGCATATCTAATAATAATATTACCACTATGAAAGCATGACAACATGAAATTATTACCAAAAGTAACGATCGATCAAACATGTGCGGCTAGTCGACTTAGAAATACTCTTGCAGATCGGGTTGACCGATTCGAAAGAGACAACTCTATGAAGAAGTCTTCGACATTTCATTTCATTCACTTTCAGCAGTTGCTTTAAAACTGCTAATTGACTATGAGTATGGAAAAGGATTTTACAATAAAATGTTGATCTATATAGATTTTGATCTATCAAAAGATTGCTTCTGTAACTATTGCATATTCGTTGTTTATTCTCGGCACATCAATCAATGAATCAGTTCAGCTTGTTAGTCAATCAGGGACTCAATATGTCAGTCAATCAATCAGTCGAGCTATCAATCAGTTCGACAATCAGTCAGTGAATCAGTTGTATCAATCAATCAGTTAGTCAATCAGCTAATGAATAAGTCAGTTAATCCATCAGTCAATCAGATTCTCTGTCAATAAATGATTTAATCCCTTAGTCAATCAGTCAATCAATCAATCAATCAGTTCGACAATCAGTCAGTTAATCCGTCAGTTGGGTAGCTGATCAGTAAGTCATTCAATCATTCAGTCATGCGGATATTCAATCACACAGGCTGTGGCTGTGTCAATCAGCGTCAATCCGTCAATCAATCAATCACCCACTCAAGTCAGTCATTCATTCAGACATACAATCCGTCTATAAGTCAGTCTGTCAATCAATTGATCAATAAGTCTTCCAATGCTCGCAATCATCATAAAGTTATAGCTTATATAGTTATATATCAGCTTCAATCTCTCTTATACCCATCGCAAGAGTATTTCAAAAGCAAAACAAAATCCTCCCCCCCCCCTCAAAAAAAAAAAAAAATGAAAATATTGGAAATCTATAAAATATACCCAGCATAGTGTTTATTATAGTTTTCCTCAGTGTTATGCTCAAGGAGGGGCCGACACGGTTCGTTGCGACATATATATGTACCATAATCAACAAACTGAACAATCAAGTACCCAAACTTGTCTCAAATTCCATAGAAATGCAACTAAATGTTTCAGTGTAACTAATTTATGTATGAAATCTCTTTTTGTCTCTCTCCGCTCGCTGTCTATGGATAGATACTCGCCGCTGGCTGGAGATCTATTGGCCAATTCGATATTGCCGGGAAATGCAATGACCGGATCTGGTTGGTGTATATTCGTCTATAATCTGGCGCCCGAAACCGAGGAGAACGTCCTGTGGCAGCTATTCGGACCCTTTGGAGCCGTGCAATCGGTAAAGGTCATACGCGACCTGCAGACAAGCAAGTGCAAGGGCTTCGGCTTTGTAACAATGACCAACTACGACGAGGCCGTGGTGGCTATACAATCGCTAAACGGCTATACACTGGGCAATCGGGTGCTACAGGTTAGCTTTAAGACTAACAAAACCAAAACCACTTAAGGTCAACATCTAAGCGAGAACAACAAACTGAATGGAACTTTTCTTTATACTTTCTCTATGATTTGAACTTCATACTCTCTGCCCCTCTATCCCCATCCCCTCTCTCTCTCTGAAGATTCTTTTTGGATGTATGAGCATATATAGTATTGTAAAATGTTTGGGAGTTATGAAACTATGGCGAGTTGTAGTCATAATTGAAACACACACACACACACACACACATTGACTATATTATATATATTTTGTATGCTAAACGAAATTATTATGATTGATTGATTGATTGGTGAAGATACTTAATGAAATCTTAGCGAAAATTTAGTAATTTATTTTGTTTTCTTTCGTGGAAAATTACACGCAGCACTACATAAATCAATTTTCTCATTTAATATACCAAAAAGAAAAAAATACTAAAAATACTTACGTGAAAAATACAAAAAAAAGACAAACAAACAAAGCTTAAAAGAGGCAAACACGTCATACAAACCGAGCACACAAAAGTGTCCAAGCAAAATACATCAAATTACAAAAAAAAAAAAAAAAAATACTGACGAAAAAAATACTAAACTTAATTGCATTTTTTTTGTGGTTTATTTTTTTTATTAAGCTAAATTGAATTAAAAATTATATATTAAAAAAAATACTGACAACAAATACTAAACTTAATTGAATTACAATTTTTTTGTTTATTTTCATTATTATGATAACTTAAACTAAATTGAATATTAAAATTACGTAACTAAATTATTTAACGTTTATTAAAATACAAAAAAAAAAAGAAAAAATAAAATACATAAGAAATACAAAATATAATACAATTATAATTAAAGAAGAAAATACTTAAAAGAAAAATACTAATTTGTAAAGAACTTATTCAGAATACCAAAAAAGACAAAACACAAAATACTAGGCACATCTGGTATATACCGAATGCTGCTTTTGATTGCTATATATATTGTATTTGTATATTGTGTTCGTTATGCAACAACTTAATTAACTCAATTAACTTAATTAAACTTAATTAAACAATTAATTAACTCATTAATTATAATATTTAATATATGCTTCTATTCCAAACAAGTTTGTTTCAATTCGATTTCGCATTGATTTGAAACACAATATAAATGAACCCATCAGTCCGATGTGCTGGTCCACTCGCGATCAGTATCAATCATTAAATACATCAAACATACATCATACATCATGCATACATTCATCACTCAATTATCATTCATACATCATAACTTATAACCATTATTATTATATATATGTAAACGTTTTAATCTGATTTTTTTCGTCGTCGTCTAACTTAAAATGAAAAATTCCAAAAAAACCAAAAAAACAAAAAAAAATACAAAATACCAAAGTATATTCAATATTGTATGTGCAAAATGAAAAGAAAGAAAACATTATTATATATTATATTATATTATATTATTACGCCTACTTATTATTCCATTTTTATATAATTATATCTTATGAATAAAACACAAAAGAAACGCAAAAACATCAACCAAACTAAGCAACAAAAAAAAAAAAAAAAAATACCAAAAGCCTAAGAAAAACACAAAATAAAAACACATGAAACAATTTGTGTGAACTATTCAAAAACTATGCGAAAGAAAAAAACCAAAAACAAAACAAAACAAAAAATACCAAATTTGTTTCCTTTTTTACTACACACACACCTATACACTGAAAATTGGCAACGCTGCGTTGCAAGTTGGCTACATTTCAAGCAAACAACTGAAATTCTGCAACGCCGCTTGACTGACGGCATTGACAACAATAGTAAAGCAAAATTGGCAACATCGAAAGTGAAAATTAAGTATGGCAACGTTGCCTGCAATTGACTGTCTGCTTACCTAACCTTACCTAACGTGATCGGTAGCAGCTGAAATTTGGCAACGCTCTATTGCAAATTGGCAGCGTTGCAAGCCAAGCAACGATTGTTTGATTGACTATTTGTCTGCCTCATTGACTAGCTCATTCATAATGGAGCAGCATTTGCTAGAGCTCGAACTTTGGCAACTGAAAATTGGCAACGTTGCAGCGCAATGGCCATGTTTTATTGCACCGTTAACAGCTTAGTTTCTATTTTAATCTTCATTCAAATTTTACACAATTGTTTATCCATTCTCTTTTGGACATCTTTGAGCTGCTACAAACGGGTAACTGAAGTGCGGCAACAGCGCCAAAGGCCAGTTCAATTTACAGACAAAAACAATTTCAAAGAATCACTAAACAACAACAACAACAACAACAGCACTCGCATATTTTTTTCTATATTGAATAAAACGAAATGAAAGTAGAGAAAAGTTGAATGCAAAACGTTTTCCAACACTTGCAACAACAAATACTAACCTACAAGATAGGTGCATAAGATATATATGTATATATATATATATATATATATATATGCATATATATATATATATATATATATATATATAAATATATGTATATGTGAGCCTACTTAAATAGATGTCCCGCCCCCTGAACAGCAATCGATTTAAAGGAATATTATAATAATACGTTTTATAAGGAAAGAGACTCGTTTTTTTTTCGATTTTGTGCTTAAAGTACGGCCACATCTACATGGCGAGCGGGCACACTGCGAAAAGAAAAAGAAGAGAATACTTAAGTTAGTTAAAACGAACAACTTAAGCAAGGCGAACTAAAGTTGAAAACACCAAATTTTAAATATATATATATATATATATATATATATATATACATAAATATATATGAAGGATGTAAAATTTTTATAGTAAAATTTATAATTATATTGAATAATGAGTATATATAAAAATATATATCTCTTTCTATGTATACATATATATATATATATACATATATATATATATATATATATATATATATATATATATATATATATATATATATATATATATATATATATATATATATATATATATATACATAAATGTTGAAGAAAGCGAAAAAGAAATGAAATGAAATGAAATCAAATGTGAAAGACATTTAAAAAATACCACAAAAATTGGACAAACCAAAATGCGAAACAGCGATAAAAGATAGATACAAAAATGGTATTCGATAAACGATAAACGATAATCGATAACAACTAGTCACTTCAATGTATGTATGTGTGTGTGTCTAGAAGCCGACGAGAAAGTAAATTAAATAAAACATTAACATACTCCACTCGATGTGCATAGAACTTAATGGATTTAATCACACTTAATACCAAATAGATAATACATATATACACATATATATACATATATAAATATATATATATATATATATATTTATATATATATATACATATATACAAACATTATAATATCCAACACGTTAGCCGGACGCCAGATCGGCTCTGTGCCATTTTATTCAAGAAAGCAATATTAAAATGTGACTCGAGTTGGCCTTGGCCAAGGAATAATGAACACAATGAATATGTTAAGAACGTCGAGAGTCAAAGCCACTGTTAGCACTGCGAGCCTAGCCTAGACGTTTCAGAAGTCTTATACTTATACTTATAAATCGATAAGTTATCGATATTCCCAAGCTTTGATGTATACGGATTTACTTATTTGTAAACTCTTCAGCTGAATGCTTTTAGTTACTTTCCAAACTAGCTTCAAATATATATTATTATAGATCGATTTGTTATGGATTATCTTGAAGTTTTCTTAGTTTTCCATTTTCGTAAAAAGTTTCAAATATATTCACTTGTTTTTCAATATGTCATATTTCGATAAGTTGTCGGTTTTCCAGAATTTTTATATATGATTAACTTATCAGTATGCTCTTAAATTAAATGCTATTAGTCACATTTAAAATATGTCTCGAATATATTACATTTTGGTTCGATATGTCACATATCGGAAAATTATCGATTATATTTTTCCGATAACTTATCGATTTTCGCAAGTTTTTATTTAAGATTTTCTTAATATTCTAGTTTTATTTACTATCTAAGCACACTTGAAAAATATTGGCTTGTAATTCAAAATGTCATATTATGATAAGTTATCGATTAACTTAAAGTTTACTATATAAGAGTTAAAGGATATCGATGATCTGAAATTTTGATAAATATTGAAATTTTCTTAGTCAATATTTAGAGAAAGAACTTTAAAATATTTTTTGCTTCTACATCATTTAATGTCGATAAGCGGTTCTTAATCGATTTTTAAAATTTTTACACATAGCTAGAATTGGGAAATCTTTAGCAAATCGATTTTCCATATATTTCCGATGCTTGAAAGCCTTTGGCTAGAGATGTGCGCAGCTGTACAAATTGAAAGCCAAGCAACTCGGTCACAGAAGTCACAGTGTGCACACATAAGTGTACGCTATACAATTACCTAAATATTTAGCTAAAGGATAGTAGTACATTTTAAAAAGGAAGAATATGCAGCCAGGAAGAGAACGACGATGGGATGCAAGGAAACACACATAAGCACAAATATACACTGACAGAAAAGAGCGAGGTTGAAGAGAAAAACAACAATGAAAATCATAAACTAAGCATGAAATGCATTTAAAACTAAATTCTACAGATATATACAAATATATGTGTTTACTCAAAAGTTCGGGAAAGCAACTAAAAAGCGTTTGACCGAAAAGAACTTCCAACACTTGAACATTTTGCAACACTGAAACGCACACAGACACACACACACACAAAGCAAATTTAAAGGAAAACTAAACTATGATAGATCGAATACCGTTGTGCAATATGATAATGATCAATAATAACGATACAGATGCGGCTGACAGTCGATAGTCGCTAATCGATAGTTATATACGATAACTGAATTTAGTTGATAAGCACTTAGGCAAAATACTAACCAGCCAAAAGCCGATGCCAAGGCATGCGGGCATATTAACACGGTCTAGGCTAAATGGCGAAACAAGCAAAACGCTATGCTAAGCCATGAGAATCGCATAGGCAGGCGCACACTGGTGTCGCTGCCTAAAATGTGATTTCAACTATCTTTTATTATATATATATATATATAAATATATATATATATATATATATATGTATGTATGTATGTATGTATGTATGTATGTATGACTATATATCGACTACAGCAACAACATTCAAATGCGAATGTTTTTTTTTCGTGGATAATGAAAGAGACACGATATGAAGAGTATATCCAAAAAGAAAAAACATAAGATGATAAATCATATACGTAGCCGCTTTGTCAACGGAACGCGCCCAAAACAAATACACGAAACACAAGAAAACCAAAGAAAAACTCCAAGAAAATCAGAAGTAAAATAAAAACAAAAATATATTTATATTAAGAAAATATACTATATAAGAAATTGCTACACAGAGACACACACACTCCCACACACACGCTCCTATCTATTTGATTATGTATGCTATTTATTGATTGTCTATGAAGATATATGTATTACTTTGTATGCACTCAGACTTGTACTTGAATATTTATTGGATTGTATTAACACTTAGTTTAAACACATCGTAATCCAAAACAAAAACGAAAATACTTACCAAATATCTATATAAATTTGTATTTATATTCTAGTTACATTTGTATTCATATACCTCTAAAAATATGTATTGTTTGCCTGCTTTTCAAATCAAATCAAATCGAACCAGCCAAACATCAGCCCAGTCAGAGCTCTGAATCTGATATCTGAACTCGCTCTCTTCTTTTGCGTATGAAGAAGAGGAAGAGGAAGAAGAAGCAGCAGCAGTGGATAAAAGTGTTGCATACTTAGCTGAAATTGGGTATATCGATATGTCGATATCGATAACGATATATCGAATTAGAATATTAACTACAAGATTCACACAGACACAAACACACTCCCTCACACACACATACACATTTAGATGCATATATGATTATTATATATAAAAGCAAAAACAAAACGAAAGCAAAAAACTTATTAACAGAATTTAATCTATATATCGTACATACTTATAATTGATATGGATGTATGTATAATATTATACTTAATTGTAATTATAATTATAATTATATAATTATAATTATTATTGTATTTGTATTTTATTGTATTGCCATGTATTAGTTTTGTTCTACACTCTTTTGCTCTTTCATAAATAAAAGAAAAATCAACAAAAAAAACCAAAAAAAAAAATATTAAAAAAAAAACATCCAAATTTTTAACGAAATCGAACAGATAACGAAGTTAAGATGAGAAACCAAAACCTACAAAAAAGAAAAAAAAAATAACAAAAACAAACAAAAATAAAAACAACGTGAATTTAAATGAAAAAGATTTTGGACTTCTAGTTTTACTCGACTCTGAGCGATCACATAGAGCGATGATCGCTTTTGCTATCTGTCTGTCTCTTTCTTGTTCTCTACTCATCTATTTTCTCTCACTATTAGCATGTCTCTCTCTCTATTCTCTGTCTCTCTGTTTCTTACTTGATTTCTCGCTCCCTTACACTATGCTCTTCTATCGCCATTACTTATTCTTTTTCATGCTTCCTCTTCTTTTTTTGCTCTCTATCTATCTCTCTCTCTCTGCAGCTCTTTGTATATGGCTTAGAGTATTTATATCTAACCTCATTCTCTTTTTCTCTCTTTGTCATTATTATCTTTACCTGTCTCGCTCTTCTATTAATTCTTCCATTTATTCTTTCTCTTTGCCCTTCTTAACATATATTTCGTTTTCATTTATTGCTCTGTCCCTCTCTCTCTCTCTCTCTCTCTGTCTTAGTATGCATTAGCCCCTTGATCTGTCTCTTTGTATATCTTTCATTTCTGTGAGAAGAATTTATCATTTACATATTTCTCTCTCTCTCTCTCTCTCTCTCTTTTTTTTCCCCTCTCTCTCTAATAGTCAAGTTCCATAGATACATGCCATATAGACAGATATCTTAGAGTCGCTTTCATATGCAAAGTTCCATAGTTAACATTGCTTAAGTCCAACAAAAAAACTCTTCTGTTTTACAGATAACATGATTTATTTCCACTAAATACTGTTAAAAGTTGTTGATTGATTGGTTAAATAGGTATTATAACATATGTATATATATATATATTTTGCAAATATCATGATCCCTTTCCTATATCCCTTTTCAATTGTATTACTTTGTTGATATTTGAACTTTCCAGATATTAGGTTATATTCGATTACTTGTTTATAGATATATAGTTACTTTATCTGAATATATATGTATGTCTGTATATAGATATATATATATATATAGTATGCAAATTGTGTTGGCACAAACATTTTTCTCATTTAGGTACATGGAGTACGTATGCATTTTGTTTCTTAGGTCTTGATGAGGTTTTCTACACAAAAAAATAGTTCTATAACTACGATAATAATTGGTAAACATTGGGTACAGCTACATTTATATAGATAATAGACAATAGACTTGTGATAGACAATGGGAATACAAAGAAACCATCTGTGACCTTTCTATAATGATATGCCTACAAATACCAGAATAATGCGAGCTCTATAGGGTCGCTGGGTATAAATTGATTTATGTGGGATGTGGGATGTGGGATGTGGCTGTGGTAATGCTCTTTATCCCTTTAAATAAGCTTGGCAAGTATGCATCGATCAGGTGGCTAAGTATGCATGGATCTAATTGGATTTTGTATGCAAGTCCACCTCCGACCTCATTGGACGCGAGTTGGACTTTGTTTAGAAACGCAGTTGGGCCATTTCGTAGGTCTGGATGGTGAAGTGATGTCTTTGATTAGACGCCCAGTTCACGACTGGGCGTGGTTGTGGCCAATTGTCCAGTATTACTCCCAGCCGGTGGCGGTGCAATCAGGCTGGGCATCCACTTGTTAAGCATTGTGCGTATGGCAAAGGTTACATCATGATTGGCGAAACAGAAGAGAAACGAGACCACAAAGCCCTGCAGGCTGACCAGCACCACGGACAGCAGCTGATAGAAGCGATCCAGCTGGGTGCCTGCATCGGGTCGGTAGGGCAGCAGAAAGTGCTGCAGCCCAAACAGCGGCACCAAAATAATCGTCGCTCGCACCGCCTTGCGTATGGCCAGCGGTGCTGGCTGTGCCGACTGCGGATGCAACTTGCGCACAATCACGCGCAACACATTGATCAGAAAGACTGCAAGAAATGATCACTCTTAATATATATCGATCATTACAGACTCCGTTGAATACTCACTAAAACTGGCCAGCAGCGAGAGTGTGATGGGCACCGAGAAGATCCACAAGTAGAGACTGTCATTGATCCAGCAACTGTGATAGAAGTTTATATAGTCAGTATACTCAAAGCTTATATAAAATTAAATGGCAATATCTATTCAAGGTGTTAATATCAAAATGTTATCGATAACTTAAGCAGCTGCAAAAATAAAGTGATCGAAAATAGTATCACTCTTAGTGGGTCACCTTTAATACTGACTATCTCACAGATATAATTGCCACTATATCGTATTACGTTGAGTGGTTTTGTCAAAATATATATAAGAGGCACATGTGGGCGTGGTCGAACCCATAAAGTACACACATTGCTGATCTGTTTGTCCTTTCAATCGTAGATCTAGTTTGCTTCAAAACGTTATCAAAGTAAATTTGGTGCATGGATTTAGGATATATAGAGATTTGGCATAGCAACTCAGCACAGAGTTAGGGGTATCTGCTAGTCGGATACTACCCAGAGCAGCCCATGTGTTACTCACTGTTCATTATCGTTGACACTAAAATGTCTGGCAACGCCATAGGGGAGCACAAAGACCAACGGAGAGAGCCAGCTAAGCAGCTTGAACCAGCGCATGACAATCGTGTCCTTGACAAAGACCTGAAAGACGATAAAGTTTAATAAAATAAAAGTAAATAATAATAAAAAGTTCGAATGCTCTTCCATATACATAACATATGCTGGCTGTATCTAAATATGTGTAGATGAAGAGAAAAAAAATGTTTCCTATGCCCTATCATAGTTACCTTCAAGAGCTGACATATTTGTATAATATACTCGACTGTGTATACCCTATAATATATATATATATACCCTATATTATATATATATATATATATAATAAACCCTTCAATGTGTACTCCATTCGATGTATAAGCTTTAAGGAATGCCCTACATTATATACCCTCTAATGTATGCTCTATATCAGTATAAGTTATGCTCTAAGTCGTATACCCTTTAATTCAGTCACATTCGTATGCCGTATTGTATACCCTTTAATATATACTTTTCGCTTAAGAATACCCTACCAAACATACCCTATCCCTATCATATATATCCCATGCTGCACACACCTTACTGTATACCCTACAATGTTCTTCTCTATATGTTCTTCTCGCATCGAAAACTGCTTGGAACTAGATCGATATGCAAGCCTTTCATAGCAAAGCCGTAATGCCCTAGCATAGCGGTGCATACGAGGCCTTATGGCATTTAGGAATTTTCAATTCGATGAACGCGTTAAACAGTTGCAACGACGACGCAGTAGAAGACGCGGAAATGCTTTCACATAAATTGCGGCAGCTGCAAATCTCATCAGGAATTCTTGTAAACTATGCAAACTCGTTCAGCAATTACAGCGATTTGCATATGAATGGTCGTAGGACGTAAGGAGGAGGCGAGAAGCGAGCAGTGAGGAACGAGAACACATACCACAACGAGTACCAAGTGCAGATGCAAACCCTCGCAGAACATCCAGAAGTAGTTGACCAGCATGAAGTAGTGCACCACCAAATGGAGCGCAATGCACCAGGGCTGCAAGAGAAAGCGAAGGAGTTCAATGGATTCGATGGACGGTGGCAAGGCTATGGAGCGTACTGGATTCTCGGCTATTTGATCGGTTTGCTCGACAACCAGGCGATACCAGAGTATCCAGGCGATGCAGGTGCAGGCGAGCGAGCCAAAGAGATGCACGTGTATCCTGATCCGGGTGCAACGCAAGGATCTGTAGGATATAGCATCAGCATCAGCATCGTACGCTAGCTTGGCTAATTGCCCAGCTCGTACGTACTTGAAGCCAAGAAATATAACAATCGATATTAGCAGAGCCAACAGCGACAGCGCATAGCCCTTCACATACAGCTCGTTCACGAACTGTCGGAACTGCAAGCACAAAGATGGTGAATACGAACTGACAACTGCGCTCCAGTCTCACTTACCTGAAAGTCATCATAGTCCACACAGTTGGTATAGTTGGACCAGGTCTGATTGCTTACCGGATGCCGATACCAGGTGCCATTCTCCAAGCAGCTAAGCACGCGTTCAGTTAACGATGCATAGATATTATTATCAAGTCGACAAATGTTATATGCTTCAAGCAAAATGAACTAGTTCTTTTTCAACTGAATCGAAGTGGCGTACATAGGTACATAGATAGCAAAAGGTAGCCCCATTTGCAGTGTTCTCATGAATAAGTTCATATAAGCCAGAACTTTACTCTTTTGAGCTGGCTCATTTGCAGTAGTTCTTTTATTGAGTCGAAACTAGCAGCATTTGTCTACGATTTACTGCATATAAGCCAAATTTGCTTTTATGAACTAGTTCATTTAAAATGGTTCATTTGACTTAAGCCCAATGTTATGCTTATATATTTAGTATAGAGCATCAGAAGTTCATGTTTTCATTTTTAGCTATACTGAACCGAAAGTATATTAATAATACGCTGGCTCATTTTAAATAAATATAAACCAAAAAATGGTTCGATTTTTGGAACAAAGTTATAAAGTTCCAGCTCTGCTCTTATGAACCAAATCCATATTTATTGCATTGCATTGGCTTTACTTGATCTTCATCTTCTGAGACAACAACTGAAGAGACTTCTGCTTATGGATAACAAAATGAATGAAAGTTTTTGAAAGGGTTTCACGGCTTTAGTCTACAAATTGAATTCTGTAGAATTTCAGCCAAGAAATTTACATTAAATATATAAATATAGATATGCATATATATATATATAAATCTATGTATGTAAGGAACAAATGTGAGCTGATGGACATCCGTTGCTGCATTGGGAATGTATTATGATTCAAATTGAGAAGTTTATAAATAACACTCTATGATATATTTGGTTTGATTTGCTGGCGGGGTTAATATCGCATTGAACTCACGTTTTGTGTGCCAAAAACTTGCTGCTGAAACCCTCGACAAAGTCCGGACAGTATTGACTCAATACGGTGCCAGCTGGCGTGCGTGGCCAGCAGAGATAGCCATCAAAATTCACGGGACAATAGAGAGTCTCCGTTTCACTGGTTGCATTATGTGAATGTTGATTTGTTGCCATTGTCATCGAGCGTATCGTCGCATAGAGCTCGTTCTCGCTGGCCGCTCGCTCGTCCACATCCTGCATATCAATCGTGCCCTCGTTGAGCACCGCCTGCTCCAAGTAGCGCGGCATCGTTGTAAACGTCTCCAGCATCAACTCCTCATCGCCGGAGTCTATAGAAGTAATAGCAACGGGTCGCGGGTGGTGGGTGGCGGGTGGCGCATGATGGGAATATATGCATATGTATCTATGAGTGTTTATGTCTGTGTCGAATTGTCTTTGGGCACATATTTGACTTTCGTGTGATTCTGTGATTGTACTTAAGGGTGTTTGCTTGAGTTAGATTGTACCAAAGTGTGAATAAATGTACCTGAGTGGATCTGAGTCCTAGTCGGAGTTTGTATGAGCGTATGATTGTTCCTTAGTGCAACTGCATCTACATTAGCTTGTACCTAACTGATACTGTAACTTTGCTTGTGTAGGAATGTAACTGTACCTATGTGATACTGTGTCGAAATTCTGCTGTACCTAAATATATGTGAATGTACCTATATGTGAATGTACCTATATGTGAATGTACCTATAAGTGAATGTACATATATGTGAATGTACCTATATGAGAATGTACCTATATGTGAATGTACCTATATGAGAATGTACCTATATGTGAATGTACCTATATGTGAATGTACCTATATGCGAATGTACCTATATGCGAATGTACCTATATGTGAATGAACCTATAAGTGAATGTACCTAAATATGAATGTACCTAAATAGGAATGTACCTAAATAGGAATGTACCTAAATATGAATGTACCTATATGTGAATGTACCTTAATATGAATGTACCTAAATATGAATATACCTATATGTGAATGTACCTATATATTATTGAATTGTACCCTGTACCCTGTACCTTAATATAACTATATAACTGCGACATTGCCCATACGAAACAGTAGCTATGAGATATCATGCTTCAGCCCGAGTGTACCTAAGTGCTATTAAGTGCGCGTGATTGAATTATACATATTGTACCTAAGGATGTACTGTACCATATAAATAAACTCAATACGCTACGCGTCCTTGATGGGGTCTGCACTTAAAGATCCACACAGTTTCATATGATGTTATTTTTAATTTGTGATAAATGCGCTCGGTGTGACCGTTTTTGGGACAATGGTTGGAATATGAAATGGCTTTAGCTGCTACAGCAACTGGGAATTACCTGTTGTCTCGCCCTTCGTTGTATCATTCTGATAGCGGTAAACGCACTCGACATACAAATGCCGCAGGAATATGCGTAGATTGTCCTGCGGCTGTGGCGGCATCGTCAACGAGGCTGTCATCGCTGTCTCAATGTACGCAGCCGTTGTCATTGCCAGTGCTGTAATAGATACAAATATGAGAAGTGTTCCGCAAATTGCCTCTTTGACAATTCTGTGTGCCTGGGTGATTCTTATGCCTCGCAAGTCAAAGGCTTACACCAAATATATATATATGCATGTGTGTTTGTGTATATATGCATTAGAAATGTATTTTTTAATTAAGCTTTGTGTGAGTTTTGCTTTTGCAAATTCAAATCTTGGCCAAACTTTAACTTGGTTTCGTAATAGAAGAGCCTTAGCTGTGGGTACATACATAGTACTTATAGATAGAGAATAGATAGATAGAGAAATATTTGTGGAGCCTGCTTGAGCGTCATTTGTATTCCAGCAAAGACTTAGCCTGCAGCTGCTGGCTGAGCGGGCCATCGGCTTGTAGCATACAGAGCAGGTCTCTGCTTCTGCTTCTTTGAGCACAGCGCCAAAGTGCGCAGAAGGCGTGGCAAGATAGTGGAGTATTAGCTAAAGGCACTTTAAGCAGTCTAGTTGCATTCAGTTGAATGTAATAATATGAAGCAGTCGATGACTAAACGACAGCTGTTGCAGTCAAAACTCTCACCTCAAGTAGAGAAATTCAAAATTATACCTTACTTTCGACTCGTTCACGGCAAAGTAAAGAAGCTTATTGGAATTATGTGATATACCATATGAAATGGCAAAGCTGTTGCATCAAAAGAAAATTCGCAGCAAAGTTATATATGAAATACTTTTTGTTTTATTACAATTTCTTTTCATGCAGCTCTTATGTGGTCACTCTGAGTAACATATGCTTTACCAACACTTCTCATATGCTTTACCAACACTGTTTCACAGCAAAATTACGAAATTTATGATACAAAACTCACAAATTGTATGCAAAATGCCAAAAGCATCTTAATCTATATGTAAATGCCAAAAATCATAATAACAAGAGCATGAATATATAAAGAGATATATATATATGCGTGTGTGTGTGCAGTTTGACGTTAGCCAACACTGACAATGCCAGTAGCTTGTTTGCTTATGCTAGAAGCTGCAATAAAATTAACATGTCAACTCTTTTCAGGCATAAAGCGCAACCCACGCAAGGGAGATGGAGAGAGGGGAGAGGAGAGACAGTTTCACTGTGACACAAAGCGCTTTGTTTGCAATATATGTGACACTGCTGCTGATGACCTGTCGCCATGTGAGAGCTGCTGCGTCCTGTGTCCTGTCTCCCGTGTGCCGTCTCCTGTGCTGCGTCTCTGTGCCTGAGTCCTTCTCATCTGCATATGGTACGCGCTTCAATAAATCAGTTTATTGTCTAATTAATGAGCGCACATTTCAGCGCTTCGCCGTTGGGGCATACACAGCGTGGTAATTAAATTTCTGCTTCAACAAAACCGATCGATGCAGAGAGACACAGAGAGAAACAGAGATAGAGAGAGAGGGAGAGAGCGATATAGCACAAGTGAAAGGAGTAGAAGATGACACACATGTGCTTGAGTGAGCCCACTGCAAGTTTCTTGAATAACTTTGTTATGTTTTTAATCAAAACTCATTCCACATGATTGAGTTTTAACACTAACAAATGCCTGCGCACACAGAGACAGACAGAAAGAGAGAGAGAGAGAGAGAGGGAGACTTAAGCCCCCTTCAATTTGGTTAATGCATTGCAGCAGGCCAAAGGCCAAAAACTAAAATATTGAAAGTCATTTCCAACATGGCTTAAAGATATGCTTTCCACTCTGCCAAGCACTTGGAATAATACCACAAAAAGCGAAACTTTAAAATAACAGCCAAAGCTGCTAGAAGTTGAAGTGGGCGACTGCTATATACCCTGTAGTCGAGTTGCTTTATATCTACTAAACTTGTCCATTAGAGTCTATAGATTCTCTAAGTTATTAGCAAAGCCAATTAGCTTCATGCTTACCTTAAGCACAAGTGAGATGGGTTTAAAATTGTAGTCAAGGTCAAAGTACAGTGTGTTCTTTTTAGAGCTATACAAGTTTAAATTATAATAAAATTAAGAAATATATTTTAAATATGAATGAAACTAACTTTAATACATTGAAAATTTTATGACAATTATGTTTAGTTATAGCTTTTACAACTGCTGCACACAAAGTGCAATCTGAAATACCAGCTTATACAGTCAACACAAACATGACCAACATCGTTGTAGAAGACATTTAGACCAATGACAACGCCAGCCCATAAAGTGCACCAAACACTAGTTTTCTATGTATGCAATGCACTTTTATAAAGTATTGTAGCTTTCTGCAGAATTTTACTTATTTACGTATTAATAACAAAAATGTGCTTTACTTTATGGAACGTCATAAAATGGACCAAGTTAACCAGGAGTTTGACGAACAGTGCCAATTGGATAGCCAGTTTCAATAATCCCGAAGTCTGCTTTAGTTTAGATCTATTCATAATAAAATGTCAAGCTAAATTTAATAAAAAACATTAGTCAGCTGCTAAATTATTGTCAAATAATATTATCAAAAGCACACTTAAAGTTGTTTGCCTTTAAAAAAAAGCCTTTATATCCAAATGAAGTTGCACATTAAATAGTCAAATTCACTCACTTAGAGACCTGTCTATAGTTTTATATATATATTGAAATTCATGTACTTTTTTAAGTGAAGACTATTGATATATGTTTAAATATATGTGTATATAAATATCTAATTGTATAAAGGTGTTAGCTTAAAGCTACAATCAGATTAGTTGAAAGCCAGCTAGGGTGTGCTCCAGTTCACTTATTATAAGTGAAGTCAAAAAGACTAAAGGATACTCTAGTCAAACATGAAGTTAAGCTTGTCATACAAATGTCCTCCATGGTCAATTCGAGCCAGCGAATACAGTTAAATCAGAGTTAGTACTAAATAGTTTCATATAAACGTTTGCAACAGACTCAGGCTCCGACAGTAAAAGTTACTTTGCTTGAGGCAAAAATCTTTCTAATAAGTCCAGGTCAAAGGATTGCATGAAGTTTCAAAAGCAGGTCCTCCATGGTCACTTGTTGGCCTCGCGCACTCTGAGCTCGACGTCAAAGCCACTCTTGAGGCAATCGTTTTCCATCGATAGAATGCATAAAATGTCAACTACATCGGTCTGGTATAGTCACTTTGCTTGCAATTGAAAGCCAACTGGCTCAAGCCGTATAATTGAGTTATGAGACTTTGTTGCTTTTGTTATTTCCTTTGTTGCTGACGACGACGACGACGTTGTTGTTGCTATAGCAATTAGCTGTGCCATCAGTTAGAATGCCAGTTTGGCTAGCTGTCAGGCAGCGGCTGCCTTCTTCACTTCAATTTCTTTCATTATATCCTTGTTGCAATTAAGGCTACATTGCGCATACGCCACGTGCAACAGGCAGACAGCCAACACACAGAGAGAGAGAGGGTGAGAGGGTGGCCGAGAGCGAGGGAGGTAGGGTGAAAGAGGCCCAGTCACGTACGCGTATAGAAATCTCGATTCATAATTACGTATCCTCATGCTAGTGCCCATGGGCGTAACAGGTCTCTAGACGGCATAAGTGAATGGATTAGTTGGGAAAAAGATTTCATAAATGTCATCATTCATAGAGAAATTAAATCACTAAAATGTGAACATGGAGGTAAGCTGGCGACTATCTTCGTGAACTGGCTGGAGGGCAAATCACAAAGTGACCATGGAGAACTAGGCATTCTGAGTTGTCAGTGGAAAGTTTTCAGAGAAAACTGATTAAATAAGCTGAGACTATAACTGATCAAAGTGTAGATGGAGAACTCATTTTGTAGCTTAAGAAAGCAATCCAAATTTGAGCTAAGATAATGTATCTTAGAAGAGTTTAAAGAGGGATAAAGTTTGTCTAGAGGGCAAAATCAGTTCATATAAGGAGAAAGTTCATATAGGAAAGAAAGAATATGGAGGACTTATTTTGTGGTTCTAGAATGGAAATCAAATTTAGGTGATGAAAATTCGTATTACAAGAGTTTTCACTGCGAAAAATTACACAAATTTCAACACTCGGAAAAAAAGGAATTGATGAAAATTGACGATGGAAAATATATTCTACAGTTATATATAGAAATGCTAAGAGCAGAAGGTCTAACAAGAATTAATGCCATGATAAATAGCAATTTTCAAGTGCTAAAAATGATGCTATATAAGAGAAAGGGTTTATGCTTGATTTATTTTCGAAGTAGTTAAAGCTTAAGTAAGGAAAATGCGTATTATAAATGAATTAATTATGAAAAATTAGCTGAAAAGAAAGTGAACAATGCGAAAAGGGAACATGTTGAACTTATTTGGAATGGAGTTCGAGAAAGGAACTTAACTGAGAGCTGCTTCAGCTTTAGCAACATGAAGAAGCGATTTCAGTTGATTGACCTAAGCAGACTGTGATGGAGAGCTAAGCCAACTTCGAATAGAGTAATGAAACTAGGTGAGGTAGAGGACAGCAGTTGCTCATCAAGCTGAATGTGAGTGGAAAGGCAGTTACTGGAGTAGGAAATTTGCAAATTGTAAATGGAACTCAAAACGAAATACATAAATTTTCATAAATATCGAAAATTAATGGAAATTGGAACAAGTCGAAGAAAATTTGTGACGCTGCATAAATTAAGCTGATATTGAAAATTATGTTTGCCAACATAATGTCAAAGAGAGAGCGAGAGAGAGAGAGAGAAGATAAATGGTCCGCTAGCCAGATATACTTAGATAATGTTTCGGGTGCAAATAGACACAATCGATATTTGGATGAAAATAATTATATGTACATATGGATGGGAAGCGGAAGCAAGTGCTGCCTCATGATGAATTGTGGCCGTTGAGCTGGGGGCGTGGCAGGCGACGTCAGCCGCATGTCGTCTAGTTAATGTTTATGTTTATGTGGTAAATGATGCTGGCGGCAGCAGCAGCGCCGCAACGGAAATTGAAACAAATACTCACACACACAAACACTTATAGTCAACTGAATTTGGCAACACGATTCGTTCATGCAACAATTTTTGCCCATAGTTGAGTCTTTTTTGGTCTTCTTTTTTAAGCA